AATCTGTAATGTGGCAGGCCGTCAGTTTTAAGGCAATGATGTCACAGAGCCCAGCAGCTGGAAATACTAGTGAAGTGTGCACATCCTGGTATGTACCAATTTCAATCCACCCATTTCTAGGTGGAGCCGCCATCAGTACTGCAGAAGGCTACAGTGATGGGAAGAACACGCTACAAGTTAGCAAACTTAACTGGCAGACAACTGATAGCCAGGCCAGAGCACCGCCTGGTAAGGCAGAGACAGCCCACCAGATGCCTCAGAGGCAGTGCAGGGGTCTCAGATGCAGCTGCCAGGCTGCCTTCAGGTGGTGCAGGAGGCTCCTTTGAACTTCTCCCTTGAGGGGAGCGCAGCCCCAAACCCCTCAATAGAAAAGTGTGATGGAGCCTACACATCCCCAGCTGAGCAGCCCCAATCCAGCTCCATGCAAACAGGAGCGAGGTCCTGGCTCTCCCAGCTGGAGAGGAGGGGCTTGCACTCCCCAGCTGAGCAGCCATCCCGCTCAGACTTGTGTGCAAGCAAGAGCAGGGTCAGGGATCTGATGTTGGGAATTCCATTCCACCCTTGCTGCAGATATGTGGGATTGTTACATGTCACATGCCTGTTTACATTCCAGCACAGATTGCTGGAGTCCCATGAGCGGAACATCCACTCTGTATTGCTTTTGTTCTCTCTCTCCGAGAAGAATGACAAGAAGAGAATCCATGTTTTTCTTTGTCCTGATTTATGTATAATAAATGCGTAGTTTAGTATAGTATCCATGCCTCAAGCCTGATCTGTTGTGTGTTTACTCTGCTGAGCAATGTGTGCTCTTGCATGCACAGCAGCTTGAGTTGCAGACGTACGTCGGATGATGGATCTCCGCAGCGGCAAGGGTGAGAAGGGAGCCGCTCCAGCTGGGCCAAGCCAGCTGGCTTTCCATCCCATGGTTCCGACATCTCTCAGCTAAGAAGCGGGGAATCAGGGCTCGCTCAGTTGGTTGCAGGAGACTTTCCTCCCCACAGCTGAGCAGCACCTCGGCTCCCACTGTGAGAGCTGAGGCAGTTTCTCCCAACGCCTCGCCAGCTGGGGCCAATGTAGCTTGTTTCAACATAGCGGTTTATTGCCAAACCACAATGTTTTGCTGGCGATCTATCACAATGTTGAAAACTTAACTTTGCCCACCCCTAGCAGGGAGGTTAGACTACTGTACATCTGTTATTTACTGAACATTCTTTCCTATTTCTTTGCAGGGAGGTCGCCCCATGCTGGGTCAAGCAAATGTTATTCCACACTTCCCAGTGCCTTTTTTGTAGGGTGGAAAGTCGCTTCTTTGCACAAGAGCTCAAAAAAACCCCAACTTTAATTGCTCAACTGGAGCTGGCCAGTATGCGACTGAATCTCACCTGCAAAATACTGACAGTCTAGCAGTGCCCCAAGACTGAGCAATGGTAGCGAGATGGAAACGCAGTGTGGCCAGGCAGGTTTCCATGGCACATGCCACCAGGTGGAATCAATAAGGAAGATGACATAATGTGTCATGGGGAATGAAAATCTAGCCAATCTGCTTACAAGAATGTTGTGAGTTATTACCACTACAAATTGCCACAATTATAATCATGCAAATATCCATGGCATTTGAATTACACTATAACTACCCTTTATAAAAAAAATGGTCATGTACAAAGATGGAGCTAGTGGTGGCATCTTCCATAGTGACTTCAGACCCGTTCACTTTTGCTTATCCTCCTTTTATACAGACTTTGTCAGTCTCTAAGAGTGTAAGTACATATTCAAAACATCTGCTTGTCCCACCTCTCTTTCCCCATTTCTGCTCACCTACTATACGGCTCTTTCTCAGAGTAGGTATGTCAGCAGTGCGCAGGAAAAGAAGCAATCATCCACCTAACAGCTCGCTGGTTTGCATCACACCGCAGTCATAAATCATGGGAACATACCTAACACGAGAAAATTCACTGCTAATTATTGGCTCTACACAATACTACAGGTACCTCTGCTTCAGTATTCTTAGCTCGGATTGCCACCCAGTACTTCAAAATTAGATCACTAGACCTCTCCCATGTCAAATATAGCCTTGCTGTATGATGCAGGACAACATTGCCAGGTGTCGCTTATTTGCAAAGAGTCTTGATCCAGAACCCTGTTTTAATATAGGTTAAAAGACTCCCTGCTGTTGGGAAAGGTTGAGGGCACAAGGAGAAGGGGACGACAGAGGACGAGATGGTTGGACAGTGTTCTCGAAGCTACCAACATGAGTTTGACCAAACTGCGGGAGGCAGTGGAAGACAGGAGAGCCTGGCGTGCTCTGGTCCATGGGGTCACGAAGAGTCGGACACAACTAAACAACAACAAAAGACTCCCATTCAAATCACAAAGCTATTGTGATGTATTGTTGCTGAAAGGGAAATCATGGAAAGATGAAGGGGGGGAAGCCAGAGTAGTTGCTATGAGGAGTTGGAGCAACTCCTCTCTTCAGGAAAGATTACAGCAACAGATTTTTTAGTTTAAAGTCAAGAGGGGACCTGATAGAAGTGTATATAATTATGCACAAGGTGGAGAGAATTGATAGAGAGACGGTTTTCTCCCTTTCTCATAGTACTAGATCTCAAGGACATTAAATGAAGCTGAATATTGGATGATTCAGAACAGAAAAAATAAAGCACTTCTTCCAGTCAAACTATGTCGTTTGCTCCCACAAGATGCACTGATGGCCACCAGCTTGGATGACTGTAAAAAGATCAGAGAAATTATTCTTATGGAAGATAAGAATCTCAATGGCAACTAACCAAATGTCTATGCTCTTATTTCCACTGTTGGAGGTAGTAATACCAGTTGCTGGGAATCACAAGAGGGAGGGATGGGAAACCAGCAGGCAAGATCCTTGTTTCCTCACCCTGTAGGGCCAAATTCGACTGGTGGGCAGAGCCAACTACTGTCAATCATGTGATGCTGAGCTTTGTAGTTCCAACGGTAAGGGCTTTAAAGCACAAGGTAGGGCTGCTTGAAAGCCCCTTTGCAAACAAACTCCACACTGCTCTTCAAACCTTTTTCTAAAAAAAAAGTTTAGAGAACAGCACAGGGATCTTTGCAACAGGGCTTTCAAATAGCCCCACACTGTGCTTTGGCTGCCTGTGTTTGTTCTCAAGAGGGGAATAAGTGTGCAGAGCAAACTGAGCAGGACTGAATCAGCTGGTGAGTGGAGGGTTGAATTCTGCTGGTTGCAGGGGTCTGCATCAACAACATGGTCCCCATAGGAAATGTGGTAGCAAAGCAGATCCCAGCAGGACTGAGTTGCAGCCATCACCTAGTGATTTCAGCTGATGGCATTGTGCCCCAAGAATGGCCTGCAGGTCAGAGGTTCCACACCTCTGTTATAAAGGAGTTGAAGCTGGCCTTCCCAATTTCCAGCTTAAAGCCTCAGCTCAAGCATAAGCTCTCACCTTAAGGCAAGCAACCTCAACTCATATCCGGACTAGCTTACTGGGTTGTAGTCAAGGTAATAAATATCAATGCATCTGAAGTGTTGTGCATGCATGGACAGAAAAACTCCAAGGAAGACTGGACATCATACATCAATTCAAAATAACTTCTCTCTTCCATCTTTGCCTTCCATCTAGCACAGTACACTAATTGGTATTGGCCAAATACTCCACCTCATTCCATTTCACAAAATGGATGTGAGACATATATTGACTTGATCACATATGTCCCAAAGCATGTATTTTACAAATAATTTTGTTGGATTTCTAACTTATTCCTCCTAAATTCAGCTGCAGTACTGAAATTCACATGGATGAGGAATGAAAGAGAACACTGCATAATGGTTACACCTAGTCTGAGGTGGTATTAAGGTCATGCAACATCATTCTGTCATAGCTTTTATCTGGCAGTGCATCTCATGCTGGTAATTTTTTTTTAATGTGCATTACTAAAACTAGAACAAAGTGTGAAAAAAAATCCAAGTGCATCAGAGCCATCCTGTTCCAACAGCCAGCACAGGCGCCTTCAACTGTCAGTTATGCAGCAGTTCTATGGTACTCATTCATCTATGGCAGTCTCAATTAAAAAGGTGGCATATAATCCTTTCATGACTCAAGAGCTACTACCTCTGCCCATGCTGCGTAAAAGGACCATTCCAAGACACCTGTTCTATTCAAACTAGGCTGCTGACCATTTCTGATGCAGGCTACACAGCACATATATATAGACAAGAGCAAATGAAGACAGAACCACCATTCTAGGGTATTTGGTCCATCCATTGGGGCAGGGGTCTTTGTGTTATCACAGACCCCCTCAGCCCAAAAGATCAAGCAACCAAACAGAAATCAAACAAACTTACTTCGCTCAATAAAAGAGGTGTGGTGCCTATATAAAAAACACTTTTCTTAGCTACATTTTGCCCCACCCTCCCTTCCAAATGGAGTTCAGGGCAGCATATATGCAATCCAATGTAACAAAACGTTAAATACTCAAAATAGATGCCACTGTGGGGAACAAACAGTTCCACAGGGAGACATTTATGTGGCAGCCCCCAGCCTGAATGGGAGAAACCCACTGGCTGGACCATAAGCAAGGGTCCCCTGTTATAGAGAGCCTCACTGTGGTATAATACTATAATGGTTAAAAGCGCTGCTCTATCGCTCGGGAGATCCAAGTTCAAATCCCCACTCAGGCAGGCCTTGTGTCTCAGTCTAACCTACTTCAAAAGGCTTTTGTGAGAACTGAATGGGGAGGAAGAAACTCAGGTTTGTCAGGCCCGAGCTCCTTGGATGAAAGGCTGATTAAAGCTTCCAGATACCGCGCGAAGGCTTCATATCCACATTCCGGCGCCCTGACATGGTCTAACTGGGAAGTGTTGGAGAATCTCCGAGGGAATAGGATCGGGGGCAATAGGTCGTTCCTAGGGAATCAGATAAAAAACTGGATTCCCATGCAGCCGCGGCTAATCCAGTCAAGCCTCGAAACGGAGCTGCCGCTGCTTCCCCTGGACGGCTCTGACTCACCTCCCTGGCCGACCGGATCTGCCTGCGCACCACCTCCTTGCAGGGGTAAATGGTCTCTCCAAAGCTGGGCTGGAAGTGCGCCTCTACCCGGGTGAGCCCCCGGAAAGAGCCGCCGACAAAGGCCGGCCAGCCCAGCTCCAGCACAGGCGGCTCCACGTCGGACTGCACCGGGAAGTAAGTGAGAGACGAGCAATCCAGAGAGGAGTTGGGGGACTGATCCGAACTCTCGTCCGCGCCCGGCGGAGGCACGGCGGCGCGCAGCAGCGCTCGGATCTCGGGCTCGGAGAGGAACGCGCGCAGCTTCTCCCGGCGCAGGAAGGCGTGGAAGGCCGGCCGGCCAGCGGCGATGAGCTCCTCCAGCGCTAGGCGCTGCGCCTCGCTGTAGACCTGCGGCGGGCTGGGGTCCCACAGGGTGCGGAAGCCCCGAAAGGGCGCATCGTCCAGGCACTGCGACTGGTTCGCCATGCGGGCAGCCGGTACCTCTTTAAAAAAAAAACCACGACGCGCTCCCGGGGGACTAAGAGGATGCCAAACACGACTGCGCCTTTTATAGGGAGTTTGAAACTAAACTCGTCCCCGCGCCTCTGCTATTGGCTGCTGGTGCGAAAGCGAGTCTCTGGTTGGCTGCGTTTGAAGACCTTTCGCCAATCGCGTGGCAAAGAGGGGGAGGATTTCGGCGGCTGTAGCAGTTTCTGCCTCCCGTAAGTTCTTAGGCGCAACATGTATCCATTCATTTCGCCCGGAGCTTGGGCGCGGTGGGAACTGGGCTCAGACGGGTAACCGCTCCTGCGCTGCGATCAGGTAGGTATAAGGCAAACTGCGGCGTCACCTGGATCACGCCGCAGATGGAGGCTGATAATAATAATAATAATCTCAACCTCTGAGGCTGCGTCCTTGCTTGAGCGCTTTTCTCTATCGGCAAAGCAAGTAGACCGCCAGCCGAGTTGCAGCCGATGTTTACTTTGACCTAAGCCCTGTTTAATTCTATGGGGTTTTCTCCCAGGTAAGTAGGGTCAGGACTGCGGCAAATTCACACTGAAAGAGGTTTTCGACAACTTGGAGACAAACATTTTACAGCGCAATCCTGTATATGTTTACTCACAAGTAAGCCCCCCTGCCTTCGGTGTGGTTTACCATCTGGTAAGTATGTGTAGGATTTCTACCTTGGCAGGCAATGAATTTAGCAGGGACTAAAGACCTCTGAAGGTAGCAGGACTTACTTTTGTGGCATTATGCCACAACATATCTTTAAGGTGCCACAACCCTACCCCCTATCCTTTTCAAGATGTGATAGTTATTATGTATTTATGTGTTTTAATCTGGAGGTTCTGATTTACTTCCCCCAGCTTTAGAAACAGGAGGCTACTTCATACAGTAGTCAGGCCATTTGTCCATCTAGCTCAGTCCAGCAGAGGAGAACCTTTGCTGAACTACAACTCCCATCAGTCCTAGCAAGCATAGCCCTTTGGAGGGGCAAAGGTTCCCCACACCTGGTCTACACTGACTGACAGCTGGGTTCTCCAGGGTTCTCTTCCAGCTCTGCCAGGAGAAAACAGGGATTGATCCTGGGGGCCTTTTGCATGCAAAGCAAATGCTCAACAACTTTGCTCTGCCTTAATTCTTTTTGCATGCAAGATTGTCAAATTTTTCTTTTTATTTCTGAAGTATATTGTCTGTTCTAGTTTCCAGTCTGGCTGATAGGGACCGGCGCATCACGTGGGTGTATGTTGCACACAAGTTGACTTCTGGATGGGGCATCAATCTATAGCAGCTGACAGGCTACAATTACTGGTGCTCTGGGCCTCTGCTTTATGGTGGTCCACCATTCAAACCCCAGTTACATTCATTCATTGATTGATGGAATAAATCTCTTTAAAAATCTGCCTCTGTGGATGAATATGGTAGGAACTCCTGAGAAGGAACTAGGAATTGGCTTGAGCTTCTCCTTGTGTACCAGGATGCTGTTGGTGGGTGGGTGGGTCAGTTTTCATTGCTTTGCACATTATTTTTTATTGTTTTTTGAAATACCGCCCTATACCCGGAGGTCTCGGGGCAGCTCCAGCAGGACGCTTGGGGATGATCTTGTGTATGTGGAGATCTAAGAAAGGTCTTCCTTTGCTGTCCATGGTGGACAGAAAAGAAGCTGGTGGTGAAGCACTTCCAATACCATTAGGGGCTGTCTTTTACAGCTTGGGTGAGTGTGATCTGACAGTATCACTGCCCTTTGCAGGACCCTGAAACCATAGAGTATGCATTGCATACACAGGCCCATCCGCTAATTTTTAGCCATCCTACAGAGCAGTGATTGCTGGCAAACGAAGCAGCCTCTTCAGCTCCAGCCTACTGATGGCAATCTGGAAGCACAGGATGGTTGCACACTTGCACAAGCCACTTCTGAGTACTTATGCACTAGGCAGAAAGCAAATTCTAATCAAGAGAAGGGCTAAGGCTCTGAGTTCTTCCTGTCTTTCCCAAAGCCATGGAAGGTTATGAGTTTCAGCATGTGTGTATACAGGAATGCTCAGAGAGCACGAAGAAAAATAGCGGGCGATGAAAGAATGCTTTCTTTGCTCTCCATGGTATGCTTGCTTCAGTCATCCACAGCTGTTCTGTGGGCATCTTTGGCATGGCACAACTTGTTTTTTTTCTGGTCTTTGCTTGTAGAGCACACTGATTAGCATGCATAATGCCTTGCTACACGATTGATCTGGAAGGAGAGATCACAGATGTGGAAGATCTTGTTTTAGGACTGGGGTGGCCTTGGACAGAACATGGGTGGTACAGTAGGAATTAGAGAGCTTGTGGGCTGTAAAAGCCCCAAATTCTTGTGTACCTCTCATATTTATCTATACATTTGTACCCCCACCTTTCCTCTAAGGAGTTCAAGGCTCTCTCTGCCCCATTCTATTTTATCTTCACAACAACCCTGTGAGGTACGGTAGGTTGGGCTGAGGAATGGTGACTGGCCAAAGGGTTTGAACTCAGGTCTTAGTTTATCCTCGCTGGGGCTGATGGGAGTTTTGGTCCAAAACATCTGGAGGGCACCAGGAACAAAGGCTGTTTTGCAGTTACTTACATTATACCACATGTGCCACTTTGTTTCTCATTTCCCCAGTGTGGCGAGATTGCCTTTAGAGCACATGCATTCCACCTTGCTTTTCACCACCCTGAATCATCTAGTGTTGCCTGAAAACATGGTCATATTCTGTCATCCCTGATTGCCTTGAGGCCCATGTTGCTTACTTCCCTCGGTTGTGGGAAAAGTCCTGATATCTAATACTTACCACAAAGCCCTTTCCATGTGTTTGAATGACACTCTGAAAGAAGTTTAAAAGGACTTCCCTTTTCAGAGGAGAAGCTGGTTCTTGCTCAGCCAGACTTGTTTCTCTATATCACGCTTTTCACCAACATAGCCAAGGCTTATTTCCCAGCTCCCCTCTGCGTTTCTTTTTAAAAATGAAATAAGGCATTATATTGCCTACTTTCACTAATGGGTGATGGCCAGCTACATATTTTTTAAAGAGTTTCCCTTTGAGCCATTTAAGAATTCTTAGATGTATCCCATAGATAACCAACCAGCTGGTCTTGAGATGTAGCTGGACTCCAACCTCCCATCAACCAACATAGCCAATGGTCAGGAATGATGGCAGCTTCTGTCCAGCAATTACTAGGGGGGACGGGGACACTAAAATATCCATTCCCACACTAGAATATCATCTCTTGTCATCTCCATGTAACTTTGTTCTTCAGGTGCATTTCCCCCAAAATGGATCTGTCCAACACAAGGAAGACAAAAATTACTTTAAAAAAAAATTACATAGGAAGCTGCTTCAAGCCACACCACTGGTCTAACTACTTCAGTATTGTTGGCACTAAATGGTTGGGACGCTTTCAGGCCAGTCCTACCTAGAGACCCTTGCGTGCAAACCTTGACCCCTGAGCTATGGACCTCCCCAATTACATTCTCTTCCAGTATAATATTTCATTGTAGGGTGTTTAGTAAGTAAACCATGCAGCAGTCTTTAAGATTGCTTGGATCGCAATCCAAGAACGGCTATTTAAATAGGGGTAGAAGCCAGATTAAATGCTAATCTACATCCCTGACCAGGTTCGCAAAAAGTTGCTATGCAGGGGAAGCGGGAACATGTGCCTCAGTGATTTGTATGTGAACTATGCATGACAGCACACTGCCCCCAGCAATAGGTTTAACACTGCTGTTCACATACCAGCAGGGCAGGAAGTGAAGGCAAGCAGATCTGCCAAGGTGTTGGATATGCTTCAGCATGATATTCAGTTGCTTCAAATAAATGCAATACACCAAATTTACCACCAGGTAGAGGTAAATGACAACCAAAGTTACACAAAAGCAAATGCTGTATAGTTTAGGGTTACCAGATGTCCCCGTTTCCCCGGGCCAGTCCCCGGATTTGAAAATAAGTCCCCGGACAAATTCCATCCTCGGAATGTCCACGGATTTCATCTAATGTCCCTGGGAAATGCAGCAGTGGCAGTCTCAGCAGCCCGGAGCAGTTGGCTCTAGTTGGCTTCAGGAGCTGCTCAGAAGTCGCCATATGATGGTGGTGCAGGGGCTCTAAGATGCAGCTTCCGGGCTGCCTCCACCTTCCCTGACCCCGGCAACTAAGCTGTGAAGGGAGGCTTCATGCTGCCTATCGGAGCAGCCTCCCAACTCCTACTTGCGTGAAAGCAGGAGCGGGGCGGGGATCTCTCAGCTGTGAAGCTGCCTATCAGAGCTTGCGTGCAAGCAGGAGGGGACAGGGATCTCTCAGGCATCGGGAAGCCTCCCTTCCCAGCTGAGGGATCCTCACCCCCTCCTGCTTGCATGCAAGTAGGAATGGGATTGGGGTTGCTCCGATGGGAAGAGAGGCATCGTGCTGCCTGAGAGATCCCTGCCCCCTCCTGCTTGCACGCAAGTAGGAGTTGGGATGGGGCTGCCCCGAAAGGCAGTGTGAAGCCTCCCTTCCCAGCTGAGGGACCCCCGCCCCCTCCTGCTTGCACACAAGTAGAAAAGGGATCGGGGCTGCTCCAATGGGGAGGCATCGCGCTGCCCGAGCCTCGCCGCCACCACTGCTCTCGGCCCTCCTCCGCCTTCCATGCCTGACGCACTGTGCACTGCTTCACCACCACCACCACCACCAAAGAACGAACAACTCAGGGGCTGCCCAGGCTCATGGATAAAGGAAATAGAAGCCTCAGAGGAAGGGGAAATGTGGTGATTGAGGTCAAGGCGGCGGCTGCCCCTCTGCCATCGCTGCAGCATCAACACCCCGAATGTAGTTTGTTTGTTTGTTTGTTTGTTTGTTTGTTTGTTTGTTTGTTTGTTTGAAGTGTCCCCGGATTCATTGGAAAAAATCTGGTAACCTTAGTATAGTTGTCCCTGTTGCAACAGCTATGGTACCCCTTTTTCTCATTGTGTGTATAAGTTGCTGGTGTTGCATTTAATTATTGTTGTTATACCCTGTCCTATCACCAAGGAGCTCACAGCAGCTTCCAAATGGTTCCCGGGTGGTCTCCTATCTACAGACCTCCTTAGCTTCTGCAGTAGAAGTGGGGCATGTGCTTTCATTCTCTGGGCACTGATGTGGCTAGCGCCAAAGCATGCTTTGTGCTGTGACTGGTAGGGCAGTTTCTTCCAGGAACACATGTAGGTGTAACTGCAGCTTTCTGAAGGTTCTCAACGCATGCAGCCTCAGCCACTGGAAAATGAGGAACCACACACAACCAGCATTATTTCTATGGGCAGTTCCCCATCCAGTTATGTAGCATAACATGCTTTTGCTCACCTAGGGTCCCTGGTCGGACATGGTCTTTTTGCAGAACTAGGCCGCACCTCTTTTCTAGCATGTTTTCCAGCTGAAAATCTGAGCGATCCTTCTCAGAGATGGGGCTGTTATGCAGCAAGCCATGAACACAGGTTTTGCGATTCGGATGGGAAAATTCAGACGGCAATGAATAATAGGAAGCACGTTTTGCAATGGATGCTGCGAACATTCTTTTGCAGGGTGCGTCAGCTTCGCCCGTGGAATTAGCTCACTCATTTGGATTGCTCCGTTGCAGAAACCAGCCTTGCAAATAGTTCACGGGAGAACTCTGCCCTGCTCCTCCTTCCACAAGCCTCTATGCTATCAGAGGACCACTTCCTGACAGTTTTGAAGCCAGGATGGGCATGGGCAACCTGCATTACTGTCCTCCCTGCTTCCACACATATTCGCCCTGTCCCCTGTGGATATCCAATATTCAGCACAAGCACCATTCCAACATTAGTACGCACTAGCTGTTCCTTGTCATGGAGAGCAGCACTGTGCATTTTATTTATTTGTTTCTAATACTGCTTCTTCCTTCCCACAGGGCAAACTGTGTGTCCATTGGCTCGGGGTGGGGGCAAGTCAGACTGGAGCAGGCCCCAATTTTAATTAGGATCTTGGCAGAAGAGCAAGAGGGTTAAAGTCTTCCTCCTTGCCCCCTGCATACCTGTTAACTATCAATTTACATTTTAAAATAACATGCATGTTAAATGCAAAGATGCACTTAATCCCATGTCCAGCTTGGCCTTAAACCACATGCTCCAAAATTTCACAGAGGAGAGCAGGGATATACTTGTTCCAATGCCAATAATCACTACCTGATGTAACCCACTGTCAAGAGCTGTGACGTGCAGTTGTCCATCATGAGAAACCCCTGCACTGCAAGTGACTGCTGTCTAGTAAAGCATCTTTTGGCCCTGGACCAGTTTTGGCCTACACCTGTTGCCAGATGCTCCCCATCCTTCAGGAACAGCTGTATATATATGTAGGCATCTTTCAGCATAATGAAAAGCCAATCTGAGAGGACAAGTCTTTCTTATATAGTGTTTTAACTCGGCACAAGGACTCAACACTCAACTTCTAGCTTGTTCTTAAAAGTAATTTAATAGTTTTTAAATTAAAAATTGTTCTGTTAAGACACCAAAGTCAGAAACTAATACTGTCACACATATACTGTTTTGTCATCATACTCGCAGACAGTTTTAGATTTTATATACTTGTTTCAACAGTTAAGGAACCACCATCTTATCATACATACATTACAGCAATATGAAGTTGATTCCATAAAATATCAAACCATCCTTATTTTAAAAGTTATATTAGATTCTGTGTGCCAAAATGACATTTTTGTACACAATGCTGCTAATGTAATATACAGGTGTAGTTCCCCTGCCAAGACCACCCACGCCCCGTGGCCCCACCACATAAACAATCTCATTCTTTGTTTGTACATCATTTATGGAGATCCACAGAGTCAAGTTATTGCAAAGGGCTGATCAAACTGTTATTTCCTGAATGTGCAGTAGCTTATCTTCCCTGGATAACATTTACAGGACTTACTCTGTAATCAGCTTCCTTCCTTCCTTTCCAGTCAAAACCTGGAAAAGTTGAATTTTTAGATGTGAGATATGTTAACATCTAACTCTGTCACTATCTTGAAGGAGTGCAATTCTCCAGTAGCAACATTCTGTATATTGCCCTTGAGTGTAGGCCTTGAAGGACAGTATAATCTTCAGGTGAGCACAAAAAAATGTGTGTAGAAATCAAGACTGTCATCCTCATACCTACTTCTTCTAGAATAGCCTCATTAATATTCACTGGATTGCTCTAGAGAAGAATTTAAGGGTTGTAACCCAAGACTCAACCTGTGCAAGCCACCATTATGCAAATAAACTCAAATGAATGAAAAGAGATCTATACTTTCCAGATGCACCAAAAGCATATCTTGTTAGTACTCTATAGGAAAACCATCAAGAAAATCCCACAGCTATGTAACATAATGGACTGATTTTCTTAACTCTCCATTATGAAGCAACACTGCTCTAAAGTAAGGATACTGTTATAGACTTTATCTGTTGTTTTACCCAAGACCAGGATTTTGGAAATGTTAGGTGCAAATCTGAAAAACCCTGAGAAAGGGGGAGAGAAGCATAAGATGACTAGAAGCTGCATTACAAGAATAACTCTTGGGAACATTTGTCTTGTCAGGAGTTCAAAAGCAACTTTAAGTTTCATGGAACTGTTGCCAAACACTAAGCAGAGCAGGTCTTCGTAAGACTGGAAGCCACTTACAGCTTCAACATTTCCATTTACTGAAAACCTTAAACAAGAAGAGCATAACCATAACACTCTTCAGACAGACACCCCAATGAAGCAAATGAATTCCTTGGGTGACCTGATGTGGATGCTTAATGCGAGACCCACTATGATAACTGCGTAGGAATCCACATCCAGAGCTATGAGATGTGCAAGACTAGAGATGGAGCAGAGCCATAAAGTTCTTTGATGCCCATTAGGAAGGCCTCATACTAGTGCTCTCCTATTGACAAGTTCCCTTCCTTCTCAATGAATAAGTTTATGTATCCTTCACATCTTCATATACAACTAGCATTTACATCTTACAGGTCACAGTGCCTGCAAGTGATTTGCTCCTGTGAAAACTGTGCGACATCACAACAGCTTTCATACATCTGAAGATGTCCGGGAGGATGTTGTATCTTCAACCACAACCTCTCAGGGTTGTGAACTTCATATGTGCTTTCAGCTTATGGCAAATAATAAAGTTTTCTTTTGCATGTAATTATGCAGTTGTGATTAATAAACAAATGATCACCAGGGTGAGTTTTCAGCAGATGCCTGCAAAGTCTGGATTTGGAATGAAATCCCTGGAAGGGTGATAAGCTATGGGATTTGGTTTCCCCTAGTGGTTCTCAGAGCTACCTAGTGGTAACACACATTTTTGCTGCAACATAGGAAGGTGTGATCTCTAAGGAGGGAACGGGTGTGCGGGTTGCTTTCTTTAAAACAACAACAAAGTACACAAGTTGGGCACCTGAGAGGAACACATTCCATGCTGCACTTCAGACAACATGTAGGAAATCCTTAAGTGTCAGGGAAAGGTACAAGAAGTGGGGGCTGACAGAAGAAGTAGCCTACTGGTCAAAGCCTATGTACAACTTTTAAAAAAATGAATCATTTTCAATTTTTGAAAAAAAAAAAAGGTTGGAAATGTAAGCTGTAATACAAAACACATATATGTAGGTGATCTTGCCTCTTCCTTCAGCTCTCTGTCACACTGATATGGTGGGACAAGCCCTGGAAATAAAATAATAATAATAATAATAATAATAATAATATTATTATTATTATTTATTTATTTATTTATTTATTTATTTATACCCCGCCCATCTGGCTGGGTTTCCTCAGCCACTCTGGGCGGCTTCCAACAAAATATTAAAATACAATAGTCTGTCAAACATTAAAAGCTTTCCTAAATAGGGCTGCCTTCAGATGAGTTCTAAAAGTCTGGTAGTTGTTTTTCTCTTTGACATCTGGTGGGAGGGCGTTCCATAGGATGGGTGCCACTACCGAGAAGGCCCTCTGCCTGGTTCCCTGTAACTTGGCTTCTTGCAGCGAGGGAACCGCCATAAGGTCCTCAGCACTGGACCTCAGTGTCCGGGCAGAATGATGGGGGTGGAGAAGCTCCTTCAGGTATACTGGACCGAGGCCGTTTAGGGCTTTAAAGGTCAGCACCAACACTTTGAACTGTGCTCGGAAACGTACTATGGAAAGAACTGTGCCTTCAGAAATTGCCAGATTTATTTAGGTTACACGGATTATGAAGGATCTATAGGAAAATGGCACTGTGTAATTCACTAGCTGACAGCAAAATAGATGATGTGCAGTAACAATTACTCTCCAGTTGAGGGCACAGTAGACTTCTGTTCAGAACAGACACACTGAACATTAAAATGATCTGTCACATTCAAGATGTTAAGGAACTATTCGTATCTTCAAAAACTACCCCCATATTCCTTGTGCATATCTACTTCTGCTTTTCCATCTGATAACAGGAAAGACAACAACCCGGTTTTGCACATACAGCTAAGCTGAACTGCGGCTTAGAATGAATGAGCAAACATAAGATTCCCAGCCTGAAGGTTGTGATCACTTTGGTCAGCTTCTGCTGCCACCGCTGCCACACTACCCAAAACATCCAGGCTTATAGTTTGTCTCCCTTGCACAAACCAAGAGTGGTGAATCAAGGGAAAAAAGAGGGGTTTACAGCTTGTGGTTTAAGTGGGGTTGATAGAAGTTATAGTCCCAATGAAATCTGGAGGGCACCAATTGGGGCTTCTTTTTCAAGAATCTGTGGTGTAAATTATACTGCGAGGAGAAGCAAAGAATGCACTAAGCACAACCTGATTAACTGAGCTGAAAGAGTTTTTGCAAGTTTACTGCATTGTGTGTGCAATCTTCGATTATTTTACTAGTTTTCTCAGCTCTAGCTCCAGAGGTGCTTTCTCAGCAAAATCACTTAAATGAGATATATGAGCCATAACTGTTATTGCTTCTATAATCTCTTACACCGAGGCTTATTTACATGTCACATTTAGGCAGGTTTGTGGCCCAGACCCAGGACATATATGGAGGAATTTAATGTTGCGCTATGATAGATAATTCCATCAGGGCAAACATTTCAGCTTGCTAGCTGGAGTGATCTCCCCCATGTGTTGTGCAGGTTCTCACAACCCTCCAAGCCAATTTCAGGTGGCACAGGGGAGGGAAATGGGGGAAGCCCTGTTCCACAAGTGGGAGTCTTTCTGCGGGCTTCCACTGCTGTGACTCATTGGTTGAATCCTGCCCATACTATAGCAGTAAGTGGCTATAGTTGTTTTCCCTCCACTGCTTATACCTGGTGCATATATTGCTATGTTCTGGGGTGGCGATGGCTAGCCAAGATGCTGGGATTCCTCACAGCCTCGTGGTTCTTTGTAGAGTTGGATAAGAAGAAAGTAGATGTGACAAACAGGATTGTTCAAGATTATCTTGATGGCTCTGGCAGAATGGTCAAGGACCCGACTCGGTTAAGGAGATGTCTCAATGGATCAGTGATTCTGGAAGGGAAGAGCCATTTGGGAATCAGGGCTCAACTCCCACATGTCACTTCCTCTGGCTGGGAGCAAGTAGGAAAGAAGGGAGCCGATCTAACTTTGTCACCAAAGACAAAGAACATACAAAGGCCTGATTACACTCGATGAGAAACCAAAGCAATGACTGTGATGGTCCATAACCACCAAAAAAAAGCCCCCCCCCCAAATAAACTATTAGGAAATCAAGTTCTGTTGGAGTGTTAATGATGTGAGCCCTTTTATCTTATGCTCAACCTGTATGTGTGTTATAAAGCCAGGCATCACAAAGACACTACCACAAACTTCCAGTGACCGACTTCCCAAGGAAGCTCAACTCAAGTATATACTGAGCCCCCTGAGAGATTACCCCACTTGGAGATTGGGGACTGCACATGGCCTATAGCTGCTTTGAATGTCACTGCAGCAGCTTTGTATTCTGCAGAGGGTGAGACGGCAAGTCAGCCATCTTAGATAACTATGCTGTGCATTGTATATTGTTTTTGCCATAAAGGAAAAGCTAGGCCTCACTCTCAAAATGGATGCCGCAGTGACGTGGTCTTTGAGCTGTCAGAGAAAGAATTCTGAGTCTAATCTTTAAGAGATGAGACTGCACAGCACATGCAAAACTAAGCAGCCTTTCAGAAGTAAATAAAACTGATGTTTGGGGGAATTAAAGATGAATGCCACTTCTTGCACAATGGTGTGGCCGAAGGAGAGGCTACTCATGCTGAAGACCTTCAATGAGCAGCATTGTTATTTGGCCGCAGGATTTGCTTCCAGCCCTTGGATAATATTCTTATTGCTGTGTGATGGCTTTTGTTCACTGTCAAGAGCTTCTCATGCGAGCAGAATTACACGAGACAGATGATATAAGGCTGTCTTTCCATAAGATCTGCTATTTCTTGCACAATGTCATGACATGAAGTGTTTCCCCATCTGCAGTCACATCAGCCAATGAGTAAGGTGAGGTAATGCACAATGTCATGACACCACAACATGGGATAAATGTTACTGCTGCATGTTATGGTAGAGGAGAACTCAACCAAGCAATTTTCATTGAAGGCCCTGCATCTTTCTCAATGTACAGTACTGCCTATATTTTTTAAACAGCTGAGTGTTTCCAAACCTTATTTTAGTAACCCTGGTTACTAAAATAGCTGAGGAATAGCTGAGAAAAAGCCAGAAATTGTAAATATCAGAGGATGATATGAGAATCACAGCAGAACAGGAAGATTTTGCCAAAACAAAACAGGCTACACACTTTAATGTTCAAGAGCCATTTCAAATACTCTCTTAGGCATAGTAAGCATGGGCTAACCAAAAATACAATTACAACGGTCCAAGTGACAAAAAATAATGTTTAGACAAATGGAAGAAGATCCAATCCACCCTAATCTTTCCCCAACAGTGGTTTGGGGGGGAATCCAAACACAGCTGCTCTCTGATGAAATATGATGAACTTAAAGTTGAATTTGCCAGCCATGTGTCAAATTATGCCCAAGTGCTAAGTGAAAGGACTGCAATGGAGGTGATGTGTGAACCATTAATCCCTTTTAGCTGTATCACTCCTCTAAGGAGCTCAGAATATCTCACCCATTTATAATAGGGTTGCCGCTTGCGGAGAAGACCTATCCAACTCTCTGTGTTGAGAGAGAGCACAACAGGAAATAGTGGCTCAAAAAAATTGGCAACAGGATGGCTGTGTCCCAACTGTGTTGTCACAGAACAGTCTACTGGTTGTTGTAGTAAAGTGCATATGTCTTCTGTGTGCAAAAACCTCACATTTGTGTAGGCAAAGTGAGTCCTTCGACAGTCCACCTACGCTGCTCGTAAAAGTGCTCGAGTTTGGATCGCATACCTTTGGTAATGGTGCACCAAGGATGTGTTGAGAGGGTTTGTTCCCAAAGTGCCATTTTTCAGGAGCATGGTGGCCCAAGAAGCTCAGAAATAGAGATGGGGTTAGCAATCACATGGATGTAATGAGATCTCTCTCTCTCTCTCGTGTGGACAAGAGTATGCAGTAAGGAGCTGTCCTGGATTTCTCTCTGCCACCTACACTTGCTTGATTTTGTAATGGAATTGCAAAAGCAAAGTAAGGTACTAAAAATGAGTAAGCCTGGTACAGCCTGGCCTGAGATGACTGATCCAGATTCTCCCGTTCCGCAGTGATAACAACCAAGACTCAGCAGAGGAGGCAACATGCCTACCCAGCTTAGCATCTCAGCTGGTTAGCAATGAAATCGGATCAGGAAATTCTGCAGCACCCGTGCACCTTCTCCTCCATTTCTTCCATGGGAGCTTTGAACTTTAAGAGAGGTGGATCACCGCTCGACACTGTGTAATAAACTGAAGTCCCATTGGATGTATAGGAAGGAGTCCTGGAGCTAATGAGGTGCTCTTTTGCTTCTCCCCCGTTCTCAGCTGTGCTGCCCCCGTTGCTCCCAAAGTGTGTGCTGATGAAGGGGTGGTTGAGAAGCTTCGCTGCTGCCCGCTGCCGTTTCAGCTCCGCAAGGGTTTGGTGGCTCCTTTCTTTGTAGCCCCCCCAGATCTGATGAGAGTCGGGGACTCCGGGGGTTTCATAGGGCAGTGCTTGGCCTGCCTCATTGTCCAGGGCAGAATGCATTTTCCAAACATCTCCATTAGGGATAGAGTATTGGTAAGTGGCAGAGGATAAGTTGAGCCCGTTCTGGAGGAGGGTTTCCGAGTCACACTGCGTGCTTTTGGTTACCAGCTCCGGAAGGACTGTGGGTGAATCTGCTGGAGAGTTCTGAAACAGAGAAGAAAATGAAAAAGGCTCAGCCGTGACTAACCATTTATCTTTTTTTTTCAAAATATATATTTTTATTAAATTTTTCAAAAAATAAAAATTAAACAAAGAACAATACATAACACTGTAAACACACTTATATACATATTTTCCAAATGAAAACTAATGAAAAAGAAAGGAAAGGAAAAATAAAAGATATGAAGAAAAAAGACAAAAGAAAAGAAAAAATACTTTTCATAACCTGGAACATTACCAAATTCTTGCTTCAAATACTGCAATATATAAATCTTAGTTAAAATATTATAAAAGACTTCCACCGCATTTACCACAGGTCTCTTACTTGTCTTACTCGCTTTTACATCTGTTCTTCAATCATTTCCCTTCCTTAGATTCTTTCATAATCAATCAAATCTTTATGTTCTCTGTATTCTTCACAGACTAAACATTTATCATTTGACTGACGCTTACTGATTTCCATGCACCAAGGAGCTATGCATGCCTGCTATGTTAGGCTAGCCTGTGGCTTGTGAAAACATTCATAAGCCGATAAGCAGACACAGGGCAGACTGCTTCCATTTTTTTGTCAAGTTATCCAAAACCTTCCGGGATTGGCTGGGTGGGGGTGGAGAGGGACAACCCCATGAGATTGGCATGAGGCGATAGATGACCACACGCTGGAGCATAGGCTATTGGGATAACGAAACTTCCACTCTACTTTGGAGCACTGGAAATACCTTCACTCCAACAGAAGGATTAGTTAGCTATTACTTTGCCCCTTACTGGATCTGTGTTCTCTTGGTTGGAGCAAGACTCCCTGATGTCACCGTTGTAGCCAGAGGTCCTCTGCTCTTCTGAAGATTCTATTTGCTGCCAGATGATGGCCTCCTTCTCATACTCCTTTCTGTAAAGGTTGGTTCGGTCAGAAAGGCTTGCCCTCCGTACCACTTTCCTGAGGGAAAAAGGACAGAGGAGAGGGATTGTGAAGATGATAATCACTGAAGTGGAGCAGCTACATTCATCGTTCTGTAGCTACATTTGCGGTGTGAACAGCCCTTCAGAATATTTCACCAAGTTGCATATAAGCATCTTCAGGTCTTGCTAATAAGAAAAGTACCCTTCACCCTTTGTACTTATTATTATTATTATTATTATTAGAAGTAGTAGTAGTAGTAATAGTGATTAGGCCTATGGGACTTCAGAAATTGACCCGCCAGGCCTAAGCGCACCCACCTTTCCCAGCCGTGACTCAAAGTCGTTGTTTTTTCCAAGGTGGGGTGAGGCAATATTTTGGATGCCCTCATCCCAAGCTGTATACAGGGACGCGGACTTATAAAAAATATTGGGGGGGGGCCCGGGAAAGCTCATGAATAATAAATAAGCTCATGAATATGCAAATAAAGTGGCGCCGCCTCCTCGTGAGCGAATAGGGGAGAGTGTGCTGCGCCTATTAATCAGCTCCAAAGGAAATTGGGTGGAGCTTTTGCTCGGGAGGGAGGGCAGGAGGCATGCAGCCCGCCCCTCCCTGTGCATTTTGGGCTGGGGGAGGGGCGGCGATGGCGCTCTGCTGGAGGGGCGCCGGAGATTATTGGGGGGGCGGAGCGCCCCCAAACGAATTTTTGAGGGGGCTCGGGCCCCCTCAAGCCCCATGGAGTCGGCGCCTATGGCTGTATAGAGCTTTGTACATAAGAACAAACACCTTGAATTGTGCCCGGCAGCTTATTGGCAGTGAGTGCAATCCTTTCAGCAGTACCATAACATGGTGGCGATAGCCTGCCCAGGTGAGAAGCCAAGCCACTGCATTTTGCACTAGCTGCAGCTTATAGGCCAAGGGCAGCCCCATATATAGCATACTGCAGTAATCCAACCCGGAAGTTATAAGCAAGGGATTCTGACTCCCAGTTATATTTAATAATAGCAGCAGCAAAATGACTCCCCTTGCACCCTAAGTTATACTGTTGAAATGAAGAGCCCAGGAGTGGAGTTCTGCATGGAAAGGCTGTGAGCACCTTTAAGTTCTGCATGGAAAGGCTGTGAGCTCCTTTCTGTTACTCAAATTCAGAATTCTTTAATTGGCCGAAGAGTGTATCTTTTACATAAGACTGCAGCTTGTGAATCTCAGGACAGTAGTAAAAAGAATTCAAAAGATCCCATGCGCAAACCTAAAATCTGTCAACTTGTGCCTTGGTTCAGCAGCAACTGAATTCATTGAAATGCTTGCATAAATTATTGTGAGTAGGCAAATCTGCAAATCTGCTATAATATTTTTGTCTAGGACATGTAATTGCTCCATAATTCATAACTAAAGCATTAGTTCCCATGATGCTAAATGGTCAGTAGGTGGCTCTCATTCCATGCTAGCAAACTGTGTGTCTTCCCTCAATATACTGTAGGTATATAAAAAGGCTGAGAATCCTTAACCCCTTAGTTCTCACATTCAACACAACACAATCCTATGCAGGCCTAAGAAAATCTCACTGTGTTCAAGGGGCTTAGAGCATGTATAGAACTGCATGCAACTGCATTTGATCAGATTCACTTCTTGTAACCCATGCCTTTCTCTCCCACTTTTTTTTGGATCTATATTTTAAAACTAACACAGATAAAATTGTTTTTGTAAGATCTTGGTAGCAAGAACCACCTGATGTATTTTTTTGCTTATGTTCTTCTGTAAAACAACACATTTTGGTAACAGTGCAATATAAAATAATAATAAGGAAAAGGTTAATTTTAGCCCCCGGTAAATCACACTGTAGGATTTCCTCCTAAAATATCTCTTGTAGGAAATCAGTATTGTCCCCACCACAAGCCCACATTCTCAAGTTAAATCTTGCAGTCCTGGCATGCATTTGCCATGTTGCCTTTCTTGCTGAATCTGCTTTTATTTATTGAAAGTAAGCTTACAGAAGTCAACTGTGGCCAGTTGGAAATCCCAATAAGCGGCTACAAAGCTCAGACTCGCCAAGCACTAAGGCATGGAAATATACATCTAGCCAACATGGCTTCTCTCTGCTCACTTACCCTCTGCTTCCAGTGCTGGAGGTTCTTCTGCTCAAGGAGGACTTGTGCCTCATCTGAGACTTCATGATGACATCGTGCTTATGCTTCAGCTCCAAGAGCAGAACCTTAAACTCTTCTTCTTCACAGAGGTCTAAAGGGAATAGAAACCAAACCCTTGAGCTGAGCTGCCCTGCAATGATGTAGCTAAAGACTGCATGGTAACTACAGTCTCCAGCTCTCACACTGCATTTTATTAGGAGTACTCCAAGCCCAGCCGTATATGGGACTGAGAACAGAAAACATGAGCTTCTTTTATTCATGTGCACAAACCAGTCTTGGGTTCAGATTCTTCCCCCTCCAGCAATTTGTGGGGGGTGGAGGTGTAAAGAACATGCCCCCAGAAGACTGATATTCAGATGGGGAGCCAGTATATGCATTTGCCCAAGAATGGAAAGTGCAAACGGAGGCAGAATTACAGCTCACCTATTGGCATCTCATCCATGGTGGTTCGGGCGCTCAAGCTTGCGCCGTGAGACACCAACAGCTCTGCCATATGCATCTGGAATAAAGGAAAGAAAGCAAAATTCTTACTAGTCCTCTGAACACTAGGGCCATGTCTTTTATACAGATGAACTTGGCATTGCAAGAAGAGCCCTGCTGAATCGGACCAAAAGTCCATCTAGTCCAACTTTCCCAAACCTGGTGCCCTCCATATGTTTTGAACTTCAACTTCAACCTGGCCAGAGCAGGTAGGAGAAGGCCTTGTCAAGAAGAGAGTTTGTATTTGATATCCCGCTTTATCACTACCCGAAGGAGTCTCAAAGTGGCTAACATTCTCCTTTCCCTTCCTCCCCCACAACAAACACTCTGTGAGGTGAGTGAGGCTGAGAGACTTCAGAGAAGTGTGACTAGCCCAAGGTCACCCAGCAGCTGCATGTGGAGGAGCGGAGATGCGAACCCGGTTCACCAGATTACGAGTTAACCACTACACAACACTGGCTCTCCAGTCAAGTCCTGCAGCATCTTGTCTCCCCATAGCAGGGAAGCTCACAGGTAGGATATAAGGCTCTCTTCATGGTTGCTCCCCAGCCAATGATATTGAGGTTCTATTTAGCTATCGTAGGTAAAAGTCTTTGAGGAACTACTTCTCATGCCCTCTTCTGAAAGGATGGAAACAAACCACGTACGTGTCCCCAGAACGCGGCAGCATGGAGGGGCTCCCAGCCATCCCAGTCTTTGAGGTCCAGCCTTGCTCCATGGTCCAGAAGAATCTCTGCTGCATGCAGGTAGCCATTGGCTGCAGCTATATGCAACTAGGAGAAGGAGAAGGCAATGTCTTTTATATTGGGTCTGAAACAACCTAGAGCCTGACCTTAAGGATTAAGCGTATCCCAAAGACCTAAGCTGCATTCTCAACTGGGCTCCTGTTCCTTGTACCAATACCTCATTCAGGTTTGCATCCGTTTCAGCAATTAAGAGTTCTTAAGATTGCTGCAGCTCCTAAGCCTTTCCAACTCAAAGCAAATGCTTAGCAATTGCCTCTTAATTTCTTAGCACTGAACCTGCACAGATAGCAATAAGACTCTTTATTATCTGTAGATGTTTTGCCAAGCTCAGATAACCTGACCCTAATACAAAATCAAGACTGCCCCAAGCAAAGTATGGCAATGAGCACATAGGAAGCTGCCATATATCAAGTCAGATCATCGGTCTGCCTGGTCTCTTCCAGCCTTACTTGGAGATGCTGGGAACTGAAGCTGTGTGCAAAATGTGTGCTCCACCACAATGACACAACCTTATGGCTCTTGCTCCTAATACTGGCCCAGCCAAATAACCATGGCTTGATATAAATTCAATACCCACGACCTTTCCATTTCATCCATAGCCCACCATTAACAGCTAAACAGACAAAACTCCACAAAACCAATAGGGGGCTCCAAGTGAACGGAGCATTGCTATGCTAGAGAAGCTCCTTGCATTCCTTGCCAGAGCTTGATGTGCAAAACAGAATTTCGTTATCAATTTTGCTACTGAAACAACTTGTCTTAGGGCCAAAGTAGATGTAACTGGACCTCCCAACACATTTCCCCTCTGTTGGAACAGCTGTGTAGCAGTAACACCCCTCCCCCCGGCAAACCACCACTATTTGGATCAGGGCCAAGTACTGGGGAGGAAGATTTAAAATTGTAGAGTTGCAGAATTGCAGAGTTGGAAGGCACCACGACTCCACGAGGGTCATCTAGTCCAACCCCCTGCAATGCAGGAATCTTCTGTCCAACGTGGGACTCAAAACCCATAGCCCTGAGATTAAGAGTCTCCTGCACTACAAACTAAGCTATGTTGCCATACTGTTTTCCTGAATTAAAATGCCTCACTGAAGTGGATATTAATATTATTAATCAATCAAACAAACAAAACAAACAAACAGATCTTTACTCTTAAGATTCTGGTGAAGGTTGCTGCAATTTTAAATACAATATAAAAAATGGTTTAAAACAAATTATGATCAGGGTGGGTCCAAAAATATGCATCTCAAGTGTCAAAGGTCAGGGTAAAGAGATGCATCTTCAGCATACGATGGAAATATGCAGTGAAGGTGCCAGGCACACCTCTGTAGGGAAGGAGGGATAGCAATGCTAGCAATTGTCCCATGGAATGCTAAAATTAATAAAGTGCAGCAACCTGTGCATTTGATGAGAACCAGCAATTGCAAACACCAATTTCATTTAGGACACCTGACCTGCCACATTTCAGCAGTCGGTGGTGGCAGTTCTTAACATATAAACCTACTCTTAAACATCACAGTATTTATTCCAGATTAAAAATGAATGTGGTTTCGTTCTCCTAAGCACGGATGAGTGTGAGAATCAATTTAAAGCTCACTTGCAGAATTAACTCACACTGAACACTATGCAGCCACCTGTTTTGTTACCCAAGACCACAACAAAAAGGGATGAGATCGACACACACACCCAACACACTCTCAAACTGTTCCTATCTGGAAGAGTTCATGCGATGTTGTGTTAATCCCTGACCCCTAACTACAGTAGCAAAACCAGGTGTAGTTAGCGATCAGAATCTCCCATTTTGTGCCAGTGATGAAATGATGCTTTTTACAGTCAGAAGGATGTCCTTGGAGCCATTCCTACGGCAAAATGCATATACAAGTGCTGTATATTTAGTCACCACTTTGCAGGTGAAGCCTCAGAGAGGTTTAGTGACGCTGTCATGATATAAACTCCTCATTGCACACCAAGCTGAGCTGCTTAGGAGGAAGGCTGTAAAAAGGTGGGGGTGGGGGATAAATATTTCAGCAGGAGCCCAATGTCTGACTGTGGGTCAGTCCAGAGTGTGGGGAGTATTCCTGGGGGGGGGGCAAGGGTGTGTTGTCCATGCCTGCTCATACTAGGGCCAAAGTACAGAAGGTTTTTTAAAATAAAAAAGCAACTGAGAAGAGTTGCAGATTTGGGAGGGAGGGAGAGTTAACAGTTCCCTCCTTGCAATATTCCCCTGATCTAATCCTCTCCTGCAAAGCTGCTATTTGCCCCGCTGTGGAAAATACAACCCTTCCTCTATTGCCGCAGGGCCAATCAAAACGGAAAGCCTTGCAGTAATTTTAAAAACTAAAAATAGAAGCTTTGGGACATCAGAACATGGAGCTCTCATGTCTTGTATTTTAACACACACCCAGGCTTACCTATCTCACATGGTTGTTGAGAGAGAGAAAAAGGGGAAGAACTATTGAAAACCTTGAGAAAAGGCGAAACACAAAAATAACTAAAATAAGAGCAACATAACCCTCTTATCCTGGTTTCTTAATACTGGCCATCAACTGTAATAAAGATTTGATTGGGCTAATATAAAAATAATATACCACTGGAACTGAAATTCCTTTCAGCCCTCTTAAAAAGTAATTGTCTACCCTGAACATCCGTCATTTCAAGAAGATCCACAGCAAAAAAGCAATAAAGGAAATGTTGAAGATTTACAAGTCCAATTACATCCAAAGGCAGGCAGCCAGCCAGCTTCTTATAATAATTCAGTGAGAATATGGCTCACCAGCGTAGCACCTTGTGCATCGGTCCCGTTCAGATCTTGCCCTGTTGCTATCATCTCTGTAATATCATCAACCATTGCCTGTTCTGGCGCAGCTCGCGTCTCATTGATTTTCTCCTGTGTTATTCCTACAGTGAGCAAAAGGAGAGGAGTAGGAACAGCATGAGGTTATATTTGACTTAATGGAAAAATAGTTTGGTGAGCTTACAGGCTAACCAGTATATGTTACAGGCAAATGTGTATAGGAGAGAAGCTTTTAAAACAAATCTGTTCCAGGAGGTATGCTTCAACTTATGAACACCTTTTTTTTTTATTTCAGGGGGAAAGCCAGATGAGAGAGGGAGGCATTTGGAGCAAAGAAACAGCTGGATGACAAAAGGTTTATAATAATAAAATAATAATAATTTATTATTTATACCCTGCCCATCTGGCTGGGTTTAGGCATACCTCCCTGCTGCTTTTCTGTTTCAAACAGAGCAGTTTTTATTTTTATTTTTTTTTAAAAAAACCAGCAGCATCAGAATTAATAATGCCTTTATTTGCACATAACATGTAGCTAGCCCCTTAGACTACACACATAGAAAAAAATCAGCAAATAGCAATCAAAATGGTTACGGGGATGGATAAACGTAAATAAATCTGCTGGACTGCAGTCATTGACTTCAGCAGCTCTGGTGTACATGTGGGGAACATCAGGGCACAAACATAGTTTTGCATGGGGAGAGACTACTGCCTTGTTTACTTCCAGGAAGTGGTTTTCTTTTGCCCAGGACTGGGCACAAAACTGCCGGAAGAAATATAAAGTTTGGTGCAGCAATTGTGCAGCTGAACAGAGCTACTTTAAACCTAAATATTTTCATGGATGCGAAAAGATAACTTAATGTGCTAGATCAGGGATAGGGTAACAGGTAGACTACAGCTTCCATTATTCCTAGCCTTTGTCTAATCCTCTTTTAAATTCCTCTAAATTGGTGGCTATCAATAGTTTGACTCATGAGAACATGGCCTGGATGCTCACAAATAATACATACCCCTCCTCCACCCCCCACAGTGTCACACCATGCCATGAAGGTTTGGCTTTTATATTGGCTTTAGAAGGCTGCATGCTTCTGCTGCTCAAGTGCTGCAACACACATCTGCCCCTAATACATTTTTCCAATAGCAGCATGGCTGTTCCTTTACAGGGATGAGGGAACCCGTGGCTCTGCAGATGTAGCTGGACTACAGCTCTCATCATTCTTGCTATGAGCCATGCTGGGATGGGATACTGGAGTCACCTGCACTGGACATTCAACCTCCACAGGAAGATGTCAAATAGCAACACAAGCCCACACCTGAAGCTCCAATTTCTCATAACCGGGCCTTACCCTGGTATGCCATGCAGGTCTCAATGACGTCTAGAGTTGGTTCGTCTTCACACAGGTCATATGGCATGTTCCCATCTGCATTCACCGCTAGCAGGTCTGCTCCACTGCAAGGAGAAAGCCAGGCATGAGAGATATCAGCACACTTGGATCCAAGGATCTCAAGGGTAATGCAGAGCACATGTGACAGAAAATCTTGTCCCATCAAGCTTTTGAGAACTGACTGCTTTTAATGAAAGGGATGGTGCTGTGCTGTTTTTATTGCAATTATCTGTTTGCTTTATAGGCTTAACTCTATCAATTTTAATTGTTTTTTAATTATTGGTTTTTCTCTGAGATTTTAGCTGTTCTTTTTATTTGTAAGATGTCTTGACTCCCTTTCAGGAGAAAAGGTGGGGTATAACTAAATTGACAACAATGACTCAGACATGGTGCCCAAAACTTAACAGTGCATTACTGGAGACATATAGGGCTGTGGTGGGTTTCAGAGGTGTTTTTCCCCCAGAGCCAAATGAAGCAAAGCAGGTGGGAGTTGAGACCTTACTTTTGTCATTGGGAACTGTATCCCCATGACTACTTTTTCCATCTGCCACCAGGATTGCCCCCTAGGTGATAAGGAAAGGCAACTGCTAAGAAAGACTTTCAGTGAATTCATTGGATTCTAAGGTGGTATGAAAATACCTTAAATTATAAACTCCCAAAGAAAACAATTCCTTCCCACTTAATACAGCAAGACACCCTGAGAGACGGTGCCTCCACCTGTCACTGTTTGGTCACAGTACTCTAATCTCTTGTCTCTCAGAAAACCAAGTGGATTAGACTCTGTAGATAAAGGGCAGGGATCCTGTGACCTTCCAGTTGTTGTTGGATTACAACACCCTGACCATTGGCCATGTTAGCCATGGCTGATAGGAGTTGGGAGTCGCAACACCATTGTGAGGGCCATTCCGCACCGCTGCTGTAGATCAAGAACACCCTCTAGTCCATAGTTCTAGCCTGAATACAATCAGTTGATCACACAGCATAAATCCAGACCAGTAGGGATACACCAGACCGTATAAAGCCCTTACTTCCAGATTAGCTTCTCAGTCCAAATAGCATATGTCATTAAGGAGTCACATAGACTGTGCTTTCTCTGGAATTTTATCACCACCCTACCTAAATCTATAATACAGTTACTACATCAGCTGCCTCTAACCTTGTGGATCTTTGCTTTCTTGCAAGAGAACCAGCCCCACCTCACCCCAAACGGTGAGAGCTTGTCTCCCTCTCACCCCAAGATGTAAGAGCTTGTCTCTCTCACATGCATTTTCACTGTCCCATTCCCACATTTCTCTCAATCATGCATTCCGTTTTGCGCAGGGCACTAAAACCGACAGGCCCACCATTCTGCTTCAACAAGTCAATTCCCGTGCCTGTAACAAAATCCTAGGGGTGTCCCAATATATTCTGAACCACATGTGGCCTCAACACGAAAATAATATCCTAATACAGATTAAGCTTGATCTGCCTTGACATTTATATCCCTTTGAAGTGGAGACCAGGCAGTCGCTTCCATTGATATTCATGCTCATTTTTCCTCCCCATGAGAACAGAGGAAATTACAATGTAAAACACACTTGCAGGTTCTTTTTATAGAGTCCGTCTAAATCAGCAAACAAAGCACAGGATCTGACATCCTTTGTACTGCTGCTACTTCTACAGGTCTCTCTGGGTTCCATGTTGTGGCACTGAAGCCTTTTGATTCTGTATTTAAACAGACCCTTTGATCTGATAGACTTCTTACTGAATACTACTTTGATTGCAACAACCACATGCTGTGTTGTGTTCTGGAGGAAAAAATCCCAGTCCGTTGCTTCTTCTGATACAGAGAATCAACTGGCACAGTGCAAAAACAACAGCATTCTTATTACTGAGGCGCAGGCAAAGCAGAATTTATTTATCCTACCATATTTGTATCCCTTTCTTCCTCCAGGGAGCTCAGCGTACCCCCAATTTTTTATTCATAATAGCCATATAAGGTAGGCTCAGAAACTGGCAGTTATGAAGTAGCACATTAAACATGCAAGATGGCGGACATCAGACTCAGGTGGTTTACTTTTCCTTCTTCCTTTTTTTTAAAAAAATTGAATCTCCATGGAGCATCAACACATTATACATTTACAAAGCAGAAGTGCAAATCCAATTTGTTTCCAGATCTAATTCAAGGTAAAAAGAGCCTAAACTCTTTGAGATCAGGATGTCTTAAGGACCATCTCTTCTCACATGAATTTGCCCATGTACTGGGGCACTAAGAGAGACTTTGTCCTGTGTCCCTCTGCCCTATGAGGCACAAAGGGTTGAGATGCAGAACAGGGCCTTCTCATCAGTAGCACCCTGACTGAATAAACTGTTCTGTGAACCACATTCTGGCAACTCTTAAAGTATTCCACTCTAGCTTATATCAAGTGGTAACATGAAATGAAGTGTGGCATAAATCCAAACCTTCACTTCTGCCAAGTCTAATCTGAATAAGTCATGAAGAACTCTAGGACTGCTTACCCATGGGGGAATACCAGGACTGTTGTTCTGGAACGCAAAAACAATGGATGCTGCGTGGCTGGCTGCCCAAAATATTCATCTATCATGTCTTGTTCCTGCTACTTGCTGTAGTTTCTGGCTGGCCAAGAGTAGGCTAGTGAACTGGATCAGACGAGTGATTCGGATGTCCTTCACCCCCATGGACCATCTTTGACAGTTTGAGGTCCGCCTGCCTGTCAATCACCTGACATCAGAATGTCAGGTGACACATTGTTGGAAATCAAATAAGTGTTGCTGATCAGCTAAGACCAATAGCAGAGGGGATGGACTGGAAACACAAGAATAAGCAACAAGGACCCCAACTTGTATCAAAGGTATTCAAAACAGGGCCGGCCCAGCATAAGACAGAAAAGTAACACAGGTCACCTACTGCTGAATCAGGATCTTCACCAGGTTGATGTGTCCACATGTTGCTGCCGCATGCAGAGGAGTCCACAGCTCATTGTCCTTTGCGTTGACATTGGCACCATGGTTCAGAAGAAGCTTAACGACCTCTTCATAGTTGTCTATGCAGCACTGTTGAGAATTAAAAGACAGCAGAGGTTTTGTTTCATTTAACAAAATCAATAACCCACTTAAACAACATAATAATCTCAGACAAGTTTACATTAAAGGGGGGGGTCATTAAAAAGGGGGGGACCACCCACAGATTTTAAAACAGCTAACATAGTAAAATTATCAAAATATAAAAACCAAATAGACATAGTAAAATTACATGTCTGGGTAAGATTGCCTAAACAAAAATGGTTTTAGCAGGCCTTGAAAACTGTACAATGAGGCACCTGTCTAATATTAACTGGCAGGGAATGCTAAGAACAGGGGCTGCCACACTGAAGGAATGATTTCTTGCAAATGCAGAACAAACATTGTAGGCTAATTCAAATTCAGATTTATTAATAAGGCAACCAAATACAGGTTTCAGCCAAACAGAAACATATGGACATAAATTATACATAAGAACCATACAGAAAGAAACTTGACCTGTACAATAAATAAAACATACATAAAAACAGAATCTTGGCACTCAAGGAAGGCCACATGGCTTTGTCTAAGTTGAGCTGTGCTAAACATTACAGACCTGTCTGAACTGGACAACAGATATTTAACCTCATCCATATTCCGGAGGGTAGCAACTACTGCTAAAGATTTCTCTAAATACTTATGCCTAGGTGTTTCATAAAGCTTACAGTGCAGAATATAGAGGCTGGTGTTTTCCACCCAGGGGCCACCACATAAACAAAACCACTGATCTCTGGCGATTTCCTTGAATCTGCCTTCCAGAAAATTAGACTTCATAGCTGTAGATGAAAATTCAGGGCTATTTCGCTTCCCCATGATGCAGTTTTAAGGCAGGGAAAAAGCAGCGCCATCCATGTCCTGTTCTGCAAACAGATCTTGGAGCTGCAGATGTTATGGAGAGCTTGCAGAAGTGCCAGTTCCAGCGGACTGATTCACTTAACTGGGTACATATGGGGGTGAGATGATCCTTTAAATAAACTGGTTCCAAGCTATTGAGGGCTTTATATCTTAATTGTGACACCTTGGCTTGTTCCTGATACTTCGGGATGGGAGTGGGGGGAGAAATTTGATTCAATTCACATTTAAAGTCAAACTTAATTTGCACTATGTGGGCAGCTATCCATCACACTTCTCAAAATGGTGCAGTTCTCCAGTCAAGAGATGTACACAAAATGCAAATGCATATATTAGTGAAAATAATATTTAAAAATGCATTATGTTAGGGGAAATCAATTTGCAAAAATGTGTAGTTTAGGCAAAACAGCATACAAAGATCCATACGTTAGGAGGAATTTGCACTAAAATGCTGGTGAATTTTCACAAACCAGGACCAGGATATCTAAAAGACTGCCTCATTCCCTACCCAACTGATCACTATGTCGACAGGAGGCGCAACCTGCAAATACAATCCCACCAGGAAGTCCATTGCACATAATGTTGGAATCGGGCCTTTAGTGTGGTGCCATTATGAAACAAACACCACCCCTAGGAAATTCTAAATGTCAAATACCAACAACAAAAGGATATCTGGAGTTCAGTTGACTAGAAATTTGCCTTCCATCTGCAGTAGTGATATGACATTGTTACATGTTCACATTATCTATTAATGTTTGCATTTATCACCAAAATGGTATAAACTAACCCTTGTATGTCCTCATTTCTGCTCATGACTAGAGGAACAAACAGTTTTTAAGCTATGCGATGACTGAACAATGAGCCTGGTCAATATATGATACTGGAGTCAATAATTTTAGTGAGCTTGCTTTCTGCAAAAGATCCCTGTCTGAAGCTTTCCCACCTGACTAGAAAGTCACTTTTACAGACCAAAAATGTTTTCCTTTGTCATAGGGACAACAAAAAGGAAACATCATCATATTTATTTATTTAACTTAACTTATGAATCACTTCCTATGAGACACCTCAACGTGATTTACAATACAACAATGTATCTAAAACAGTTACATATATTAAAAAACAGTTTGCAATTACATATATAAAAACAATTTTTGAAATAGAACAACAGTTTAAAACAACAACGGCACTTACATAAAAATCAGTTAAACAAACAAACCAGAACAGATACCAACTGCCATTAAGATTTTTAGAAGCTTTGCCGAAATATATATTTACATATATATCTTTATATTTAGCTTGTTTCAGGAGCTAGTTTGCATGTCAAATAAACGACTACCCAGTGCCAGAAAAATAATGCTCATTTGCAGAAGAATCTGGGCTTCAGCCATGGGGCATCAATAGCTGCATTTACAAAACCTACTAAGAAAGAACGAAATTTGGATGCAGTTATCCGCCTCCAGAATAAGCTTAACAACCCTCCCTCTGTTGTTACTACCCACCTCCTCAGTGCCTAGAAAATAGGCATCCAGATGGTCTCCGGAAAACCCAGCAGCCATCTGATTTCAGAAAGTTGAGGAAATAAGGATACGACAGTGAGTCCAGTCTCATTTCCCCCACATCAAAAGCCCATTCAAACACATCAACCTGAATGATCTGCCTTATAATGATCTACCCTAGAATGATCTGCCAATTATCCTGCATGATCCTTTTCTCATCATTTTTGGGTTGTTTTGAAGATCAGAAACATGCATGTAGCACATCCAGTCTGAGGACTCTTCTGCTTATGCCGTCATCCTTTAACCTACACAGTTGGTTCGAAACACATAAAGCTGTCTTCTACTAGGTTAGCCCATAAGTCCAATATTGGCAGGGGCTTTCTGAACCAGCTGTGATCCACATCCTTGTATTAGTTTATTAAAAACAGATGTGAGGATGCTTGTGTGGATCTGGATCTCGGGGAGTGAGGTTTAAACATTCTCCCGTGCTATTTTACCCAACATAAAATTATTAGCCAGAGTGGAGTGTGTGCACGCTCTCTCTCCCTCCCCCCCCCCCCATTTCAATAGTTTTACAGTCATCTTAACATTTCAAAACTTCCTCCTCTTTCTACGGTTCCTGAAATTGATTTTTTAATCATTTCCTGCATATTCTAAATAAACTTAACTTATTCTTTTATTCTTTTAATTATACTTTAATTATATACTCTGATGAAGCTGCAGGTTATTACAATAACCCTGCCAATGTCATTATCTGTTTACAATTTGTTTGTAAATATTCAATAAACCATTTCCATTCTTTTATATATATATAACGTTTGTTATCTTGATTTTCTGTTTTTCTGGCAAGTTTCACCATTTCTGCATAGTCTATAAATTTTTGTATCCATTCTTCTTTCGTCAGGACTTCTTTCCATTTTGGGGCAAATAACATTCTTGCCGCTGTAGTCTCATACATTAATAAATTTCTGTACTGTTTAGGTAGTTCTACCCCTATAATTCCAAGAATGAAATCTTCTGGTTCTTTTGGCAAATGTTATTTTAAACATCTTTTTCAATTAATTATATATCATTTCCCAGTAAGCTTTAACCTTACTACAAGACCACCACATATGATAGAAAGTTCCTTCTTTCGCTTTGCATTTCCAACACTTATTCGATTTTTATTTATATATTTTTGCCAATTTACTTGGTGTTAGATACCATCTATATAACACAACAGGGGAAATTCTTTGTAGGTGTGTGTGTGTGTGTGTGTGTGTGTGTGTGTGTGCCAATGGTGGTCAACCAATGGTGTACAGCCAGCTTTCCAAATGGTAACAAGGAAAACGTAAGTTAGTTTATTGGAATCCCAGTCAGGTAATACCTTTATTAGAACCCATCAAAATGTTACAAAAGACAGTTGTACCTTGGTTTTCAAACAGCTTAGTTCTTGAACGTTTTGGCTCACAAATGCTGCAAACCTGGAAGTGACTGTTCCGGTTTGCAAACTATTTTTGGAAGCCGAACATCCGACAGGGCTTCCTGCAGCCAATCAGAACATTTTGGAAGTCGAACGGACTTCCGGAACGGATTCTGTAAGACTTCCAATGCGACAAACCCACAGCAGGGACAAACCCAAAGCAGCCAGGCTTTGTCTTTTCAAAAATGAGGAGCAGCTATTTTTTTCTTTGTCCCAGAATCCTAGGTGTGCTCCTTGTTTATTCTTTTCTACAGATCAACACAAACTACTGTACATTAACCTTTTATCTCCTTTGGCTTACTAAGTAACTGGGGACTTCCTGCAGTTCTAGTTCATTCCTCCCCTGCTACATTGACAGCATGGCAACAGCCTATGTGAGCATTTTCTTTCATCTGACCCTGCCTGATATCACACTTCACCTTCCCTAAACACTTACCTGATGCAGTGCAGTTAATCCATCTTCATTGCACAGGTCTGGGCTGAAGTTGTTGTTCAATAAATAACAGACTGCAAGAGACAAAACAGAGAAGTTTGTCCTCAGTAAATATTATCGCTAATTTCACCTTCAGATGGAACAAACAACTGGCAACAAAGAATAAAGAGAGGATTTCAATAGCTAAAATGCCCAAGCCAATAAACGACTCTTGCAGGGTAACAACAACAGCCTTGAGGCTGACAAATATCAATTATTATGAGGCTGTTCTACAGAATGGGATTCTCCCATGTCTGTTGAAATTTCCTGTGTGGATGGTGTTATTTTGACCACATAAGCATTGACACCTGGTGAATGAGTCCACTATTAGTATGCAAGGTTACATTCTAAACTGAGGAGATAGAATTCTGAACAGTATTACTTTTACTGCAGTGAAAGGGTTATATGTTTGAACACCTCCATACATAAAAACACACACATACACACCAAGACCCAAATACCTCCATGCATGAGTTAAATTATCCAATGGCAAAAAGCTATTAAACATGTATCCCCCATCAGCTAGTTCCTACATACACTAAACGTGTTGAGTAGGAGCATTCCAAAATACCACCCTTCTTCTCTTCAGAACTCTACTACCATGGAATACCAAAGCAATGTGGCTAAGGCTGCAATCTTATACGTGCTTACATGGTTGTTGTTTTTTAAATTGTATTTTAATCCAACTTTTAGAAGAATCTCACTGAATATATTGGGACTTTTGCACAAGATTAGGCTGCAAGAGCCATGAACTGGTCCTCCATGGGTCTGGTTTTTGAATCACCAACAACATTTTGTCAATGAAAGCACTGCTTTTAGCATTTTGCTCACCCCTCTGTAATGTTCCTGAACGAATGAAAACACAAGCCAAGAAGATAATCATTCTCATTTCCTCTCCCCTCCAATGGCTTGGGGAGCCAGTGCTACTAAAGAACCAGTATTATGCTGACCAAGGATATACAATGCACAAAAACTTGGTGCAGCTCTACTTAAAACATCTTAGGTGTATCCCTTAAAAAGGCAGTGTACTCTCAGAAGTTGTCCCCCCTTGAATACAGAGAAATACTAAATATATAACAAGATAGCCTTATACTTTTATGGGTTTTTCCCTCTACCCCTTTCCCATCCTTCTCCTCCAAAAAACCCCCCCACGAAAATAAAAATGAGCTTAACCAGCATGTATGGCATATGCAGTCGAACTGCACCTCACAGTATATCCAGTTTAGATAACTTGTGCAACTCATCTAGCAAATCCAAATTTATGTTTATGCTTCTGTTGCTGGCTGGCTAACCACACCGCCCTGCCCTTCTAATACCAACTGACGGATAGATGTGTCACTCAACAGAGGCTCTGGTTTGCTCTTGTTTACTTTGGATGTGATTTCCATTAGGACGCTTAATTCAATCTGGCTCATTTAAAAGCCATTGTGTACTAATGACACGGGGATCTGTATAATCATGTTGACCCTGCTTTCAGTGATATGATCCTGTTACTGTGCGGAGATTAATCTTGTCAGTTCTCCCCTTCCCACTTACATTTGAGAACAAATGTCAAAATAAACAAAACTTGCCAGTTCTATTCTTTTCTCCGTTGACGATGATATTTTAGGAGAAGTACCATGTACGTTTAAGTCATAAAAAGAGCCCATGGAACTATATATTTTCCATTGCTAACAATGGCATTCCTGTTTTATCTGTAAAACCTATGAATGAAGGCAGCAGACCTTTCCAGTTTTATGTCCAACATATGTTTTCAGAGGTTTCCTGCCCAATGCAGGATCCCACAGGGAAGGGAGCAAGGCAGGTCAGTGGCTGCAGGACCACTGACAGCTCTGAGTACTCCCTTGAGGGTTGAGGGCAAGCTGAGGGCAGATCGAGACCCTGCACATGACTTCCCCCAAAGAATCCTGGGGGAAAGTCATGCGCTTTAAATGTGCATTGAACTTGCTTGAAATGTAGGTATGGCTCTGCCCTGAGCCCTTAAAAGCATCTGCATCCAGACTACTTCTCCCAGGCTCCACCCCTTTGTGGATAACTAGTCTTAAAAGACCAACCCTTTGGTCTAGAGGTGGGCACTCGTCCTCCATTCCATAGCTTCCACCCTGTGCCCTCCTTGTTCTGTTGGGAGGAATTGGGTTCCGCAGGCTCACGGGAAGGTGCCAAACCAATGGCCTCAAGTTACAAGAAAGGATCTTCTAACTAAACATCAGGAAGAACTTTCTGACAGTAAGAGCTGTTCGACAGTAGAAAGGTCTCCTTCGGGGAGTTATGAACTCTCCTTTATTGGAGGTTTTTAAGCAGAGGTTGGCTGGATGGCTGTCTGTCATGGATGTTTTAGCTGAGATTCCTGCATTGCAGGGGGTTGAAGTCCCTTCCAACACTACAATTCCACGATTCATTGTTAGGTCTATTCTCCACAAACGTCATCTAAACTAGTGGTGAGCCCCACATCCTATGGGCATGTACTGTGTGAAAGAATTCTTCCTTTTGTCTGTTCTCAATCATCAATTCCACCGGATGGTAAGGTCCAAACGGTTGTAACTGTAAGACAGTGAGGAGGAGGAGACATCAGTCTCTTTCTCCATTCTATTTTCCATAATGTCCTGGCGAGTCTGGGGAGAAGTCATGAGTTACACATAACTTGAGCATGGGCATGTTCACCGTGCATACAAATCATTCTGATCACCCCTGGGATACAATTGCTCACATCAACTGTTTTGCAGCACAGATGGGATAGGCTCCCAACACTGGTAGGATGTTGTTTGTGAGGATTAGATGCAGTGAATGATCACATGACAGTTCCCCTTATTTCACCAACCCACCGATGCTACGGTGGCTTTCTGGAATAGCTTAGTCAGCTGTAAGTAAAGATTAAGGTTTAATGGGGAATTTGTTCCTATTACACCCCCCCCCAAAAAAAGGGGGAAATAATTTGCTCTATTCACACTGTAGATAAAAACATGCGTGACCATCCCTCTACAAACCAAGCAAGAAACTGACATATATTTCTGAAATGCAGGTTGTTAACCATATGGCTCTGTGTGAGCCATCTGATATTTTATCATCATTCAGAACATTAACTCTCAGTTACAAATGCAGTGGTGCTCAGGAGGCCCTGCAAATTTCAGAGTGTTTTCAGGCTAATGGCCAGTTTCCAGCTGATGGAGAAGATGCCATGAATGGGCCAGGCGTAGGTGGAATTGTATTCCTGCAGACTTGGCAGTGGCAGTAGGTTGGTTTTCCTGCCACACCTCATTACAATCCCCCAAGATTCTGCAACAATGTTCTGGCAACAGATCCTCAGTGACAACAGCAAAGGAACTTCCAGAATGCAAAGAACTGCGAAATGTACTCCAATCGTATACTGCTTTTATAGTTACACTCTTCCCCTAGGATACCCTGGGAGCAGGAGTTCTGAGGTCACAGAAAATCCTTGCTGTTACCATTTTCAGGATATTTGAAAAGTCAGAGCACTGAAGCTTAATCCTCCATACGCACACTGGAGAGGCAGGCAGAACTGCACCTGCCAGCCCCATTACTGACATAAATAAATGGAAAGCAGGGAATGGTGTGTTTTCCCAACTCTCCGGACTCAGCTATACAGCTGCAAATAAAACGTTTTAATACAAGGTGATACTAGATAGTGATGGTGAGCCTTATGGAAAATTCAATGTATTTTTTAAAACACTTTTTTTAAAAAAAAAACATTTTCAGAATGGTTTTTATATGTGTGTAGATTCCACTTCCATTTATTTATTCTCTCACCCACCCATGTAAGGTTGCGATCACAAGTGCTGGGAGTGAGCGTTAAGTTGCAGGCCCACTCTACTTTAGCAAATAGCATGCAGCAACTTCTGCTTCACTAGCCACATTCTTTTACGGTTAAATTTGACTGTTTAGTTTTGCACTTTTAACTGCTCAAAGGGCCATGCACCATGATATATAGCTGCAGCTTGTTCTAGTACATCAGGCCTACTCCTCTTATCTGAGAGGATCCAATCACTCTTGAGGGCTGGCTCTGCCTCTGAACATAGCTTCTTTAGCACAATCTATGATATACGGCCAGTCTTACCTGCTGAGCCAGGAATCCAGACACACTTCCAAAAGATTCCTCAAGGCTCAGAGAGTTCAAAGCCCAAAGAGACTACCTCATGCCTATAATGCACAGCCTTCATCGGGCCAGCTACACAATATGGTATCGCTGTGCAAGGATTTGGGCCTCCAAGGCACCATCTGTTCCTTACTGAGGCCGTGTGCAAGAGGAAATTTCACACAGCTAAGATAAACTGCTAGACTGTTGCCTCATTCTAGAATCTCTCTCTCTCTCCTGCTGCCCCCCCCCCCGCATTTCTTTTTCATGAATATCTCTTGACAAAGCCTCTTTGCTTTCAGATTACTGCTTAGTCCTGAGGAGTTATCACTCCTAGAAAACACTCTGTTGACCTTTCAGTTACATTTCAGACCTCCATCTGTGTGCAAGCTTTCACTTTGCCACTGCGTCGGACTGCTTAGACGCTGGTGTTCAACAGCCACAAAAACAGTGTAGGGTCTGGAGGAATGCAATTTCTGTGCAATCTGGCCTGATCCATGCATCCTGAACTAATGTGCAGATTGGAACAGAAATATCCTTCAGATTATAGTGGTACCTTGGTTCTCAAGCGCCTTGGTTCCCAAACGCCGAAAACTCGGAAGTAAGTGTTCCGGTTTGTGAACGTTTTTTGGAAGCCGAACGTCTGGTGCGGCTGTTGGCTATTGTTTTCGGGGTGCCTGCACCAATCAGAAGCTGTGCCTTGGTTTTCGAACATTTCAGAAGTCAAACAGACTTCTGGGATGGATTTAGTTTGGCACTTTTGTTTTTGCTATTTATTTTCCTTTTTTTGTTTTTGAGGCTTTTTCGGTTAATCTGTTTTTGTGACGGTATGGATGATAATTTTTATCATCTACAATACTGTCTTGTTTATTTTATAGTGCAGTACATTGATTATTGCTTTCATTTTATGTATCAATTGTCTTGTTAGATAGTAAAATTCATGTG